TTCTACAAACTGTTTAGTATTCTTGTAGACCCTTTGGGACCAACAGAATGCTTTGTTCATAATCTCCAACTAAATTTCGGCATGATTGACTAGAGTATTTCCTCCATTTCAAAATAAATATATGCAGTTAAAAAGACATGCAGGTTTATGAATATGTAATTATTATACTTTTTAATTGAGTAATGACAATTTTAACCTTACTAATAGATGAGGTAATAAAAAATTTCATCTCGCAATTAAGGTTATAGTTGATAAGTAGACATTATCTTTCCCAAAACCACATAAATCGTATTATATCAACAAAGACAAAAAAAAACGAAACATTAAAATGAAGATATATCTCGCTGCATTGTGTGAGTACCCTTCTAATTATATATAAACTATATCTAAAATCTAAATGTTTGATTAATTAGGTAAAACTTAACAAGTTTAGTGAAAAGAAAAAGGTGTTAAGAATTGTTTAAAGTATATTTTAAGATAAAGAAAAAAAATTATTTCATCATAAGACCAGAACTGAAATTAAACGGTATTTGGTAAATGGATTTTCACAGAGACCAAAACCGAAACCAAATGGGGTAAAAAGAGTTAAAAGAAAAAGGAAAAAAGATAGATTTACCCTTATGCTTTTTTATATGAAGAGGAGAGACCCCTCCTATCAAGTAAAAACCCAAAAACACTGGAACAAATACGCGTTCGGGTAGGAGCGAACTACATCCACCAGAATAAAACAAGGCATCCTGAGAAAGAGGAAGAAAAGAAAGAAACTAACCACAAGGGAATTTACCCTTATGTTTAAGGTATGCGGGGGAGGGTTAACGGTCCTTTCAAACGGCTTGACTCACAGGGACGAAAATTGAAATCATTTGGAAACACTACAACAAAATTATGTTTATAGGACATCCCCAATCTCTAAGTGTCTCAATATACCTCTTTATAAGACTTAATTTATAGGACCAAAATATAAAGTGTCATATCTAAAGGTGTTGTAATAAGTTTATATGACGCTTTTGGACGTCTTAACAAGTTTTTTAGGACATTTTTAATACAAAATGTCGTATTAGCAACTTTATAAGACATTTTTTAGAAAGTGTCCTATAAACTCATTTTTTTATAGGACACTTGTTTTTATAGGACAATTTTTCAAATAGTGTCCTATAAAGTTGATAATGGGACACTTTATATCAAAAATGTCCTAAAAAACTTATTACGACGTCAAAAAACGTCATATAAACTTATTACAACACCTTTAGATATGACACTTTATTTTTTTTTGTCTCATAAACTAAGTCCTATAAAGAGATCTATTAAGACACTTAGAATTTAAGAGTGTCCTATAAACCCGATTTTGTTATAATGAAACTACAATGACGATATCCGTAATTTCAATACCGTAGGGATGAAAACCGTAAGCATCGACAAACCATGGGGACGATAACAGTTGTTTACTCTTAATTACATTACGACCCTACAAAGACAATGGCACCGAAACATGAAGCTTCCTGGAAAGCCCCAAAGCCACATAAAAGAAACGTACAAGAAATGACAACTGTTGTTCATTGTCATATCCACATTCTAGAAGCTCATTGGCTCAACAACTACATACATATATACATGAAAACCAAAGCCAGCCAACCCTTCTAGATTGTCAACTTTTACTAATCTTTTCAATCCCTTTCGGTTATTATTTTTATTAACCTGGATATCCAAACCGACTCATTCCAGGGCGACCATCTGTTTTGCAGATAGTCCGGAGTCAACGCATTTGAACCTCCATGGCCATAAGGAGATTTTTATTTCTTCTTGGATTTAAACATGTGATCTCATGATACTTTCTTTTTCAGTTATTAATTTAATAGTATTTTGTTCGATGACCAAGTCGACTTTGTGGGTCAATTGGAGTGAGAGACATACTTTATAATCATTAGTCTTTGGTGTTTATATACAAAACCCAAATCACATATCCAAGAGGAGAGTTGTAGGGTACAAAAAAGAGAATCAAGATGGGTATGTTCAGCAAGCATGTTTCCCTGATTTTGGTGGTGTTTGTTCTTGTGACCATCTTCCAGTCTCATCATCAGATGACGATATTTGCACAAGCAAGGCCACTTTCCATCATCCCTGAACATGGTAAGTACCACCTCAAGATCCTCTGTGTGTTTTCTTGTTGGTGATTTGTATCACTAAGTGTAATGAGATTAATTTGTTGACCAATGTAATCATGACAAATATCGAACAAGAAAGGAAGGTGCGGAGTGCACATTTGTTTGAGTTTATTTTGATTTAGGGGCGAAGCTCTTAAACAACGGGGTCCAAGGGGCGGCAGCCCCTTGCGAGTAATGTTGCTTTATGAAAAATGCTTCAAATATCTGAATTTAAAATTTTAAACCCGGTTTGGCCCGTTTTTTAAACCTGGTTTAGGGTTCAAAAACTGTTGTTTTTTGATAGTTTTCGTATTTCAATTTCGAATTGGTCATTTTGATTTTGAAGAGGTACACAGATTCATAACAATCGATTCTTTGTTCGAAAACCACTGATTTTATCCGATTGAAATTTCGATTGTACCATCGAAATACTTCAATCTAAAAGTGTTACACGACTTTCAGTGGAATCCAAGCAATCGAAAACCCGAATTTCTAACATTTTTGATCATACATCTATTTTCTCATTAATTTATACTGACTTGACTCATCATTTTCGGACATGATCTGTAGGTTATGCGAATGTTTTCGATACACTTGGAATGATATGTAAATGTTGTGATCATTCAAGGGAAGATTGCACAAGTAGATGGAATGGATCGTGTTCTAATCTCCGCTGCATTCCTTGGAAATTCCGTTAAGTTGAGTGTTCGTATTTGTAGTTAATCTGTAGTGCAAATTTTAACGAGGATGTAAATTTGAAGTACATACAATACGTGAAGGTGTCGATTTTGTAGATTTAGACGTATCCTTGGCTTTATAATGATTATTGAAGTACCTTCGATCTTCAACCTCAAATAAATGATTGTCGCTAGAATTAGTCAACTAATATATAAAGTTGAAGACTAATACGGTGTATTAGTAAGATCGATTGGAAAAATAATTGCACACATGTTGAGTTTCTAAACCCATATAAAGTTGAAGGGTTGGGGTGTAGTACATGCAGAATCTGAAACCCTTTCTGATATTGTTGCTTCAAATTTCAGTTTACTTCAAGAGAAAGAATAACTTTGCGTTTGAATTTGGATTCAAAATAGGAAACAAACAAAGTGTCAAACAATTTTGGGAAGACCAAACATACATTTTTCATGTAAATATGGTTTATTTAAATCTGAAACTTTGACCAAACAAATGATATGTTTTAAGCATTTGTATATTATGCATAATAGTTTATACGTAAGAGATTTTTGAATCTTTTACATAAATTGATAGTATTTTATGCTTTAAGACTTGTGATTAAGACTTTGAGGCACGAAGTTACGGATTTTTTTGGTATTTTCATAAATATATTTGATAATCTAATACTATATATTAAAGCTCGACAACCTCTCCTAAACAACCTACCAAGTCCCACATTTTTCAAAATGATATTCAATTTTTTTTAAATTATATTTTGTACTTTTATAATTAGTTATTTAATTACTTTATATCCCTTACTTCTTCAATTTTCGTTTTATCCCATTACCATATTAACATAAATAATTTTATATGAATTAAAAAATATTTAAAAATACGTTTTTAATTTTACAAATTATACCAATACAATCGTGGCATCAATACCTTCAAAATGAGACTAATATTTAATATTTTTGTATTTAATCATAGTATTAAATATCTTAATACATACGAATTAATTTGTTTTATATTTGAGTAAACTACAATTTTCGTCCCTGTGGTTTTGAAATTTTGTTTTCGTCTATATGGTTTGTAATTTATTGTTGTTTTCATCCATGAGACTAAATCTAATTAAAAATCCTTCATTTAAATTAGGAGTATTTTAGTCTTTCTGATTTTTTTTTAGGTTTATTACATATCTTTTTTTGTTTCTTTTTTGTTATTTAGGTCTTTTTAATTTAATAAAATTATATATTTTTTTGATAAAAGAATTAATATATACGAAATATTATTTTATTTTATAATTGTTTACAATAAAATCATAAAATATTTTTCATGCAATTTCTTCTCTTCATATTTTTTTTATCATTACAGTTTTAGTATCTTATTTATTCGATTGAAAAGTTGTATTTTTTTATATGACGTCTTTTCGTATTTGTATTTAGAAAAGATGTCAAAAAAATTAACTGTACCCTTTATTTTCAGAATGCTTTGGAAGACGTTTAAAACATTTAGTTAACTTATTGTAACACATTTATATAAGATATACACTTGTTTGATATCTATATTATATTATAAAGCATGCTAAACGATTAATGTTGTGTTATGTGATTAAAGGAGTTATTGATTTGAGTGTGGTTCATTATGCAGGTTCGGAAACTAACAATATTATAAACATGACAGGCATCGACTTCTCATGGTTTAGTCAAAGCATCAATATCTCACAGTAATCTATATCCCTATCATCTTCTCTATAAATATGTGTTCTTGTTAAAACAATAGTTGCAGTGTTTATCCGTACTGCCAATATGTGAGCCAAGAAATAAGCATTTTGATGGTTGTATTTTATTTTTTAAACAAACAAGAATGTCCTCAAACTTTATTGGTCATGTTCACCTGGTCGTGCCTTTTATACCACAAGGACAATTTTGAAGGCGTGCTCTGGAAGTAGGACTGTAGCCTTCTTGGTTTGCAATATATTTTGGCTCAGTTGTCCTGCTCTAAACGAATTTGGGTGTCATCTGGTTCAAGATCATATGAACGTGATGGAAGCCTTATTCCCAATATCAATCGTAGATTGACAATTTGGCACCTAACCTTGCCCAGACAAGATCACATCCATGATCAGTTTGATGTCTTTTCGTTGTTCCAATTGTCATGATCAGAGTAGGGTTTTTGGTGTGTTTAATATCATAAAAGAGAGTATTATCTTAATATATGATAACTCTCATTTTTTAGAGTTATCCATTACTCTTTTTTAGGCTTTTGTAGCGCTCTATTTACCCATTTTGCTTCTATCTCTCTTATTTTGTCCAAATTACTCTTAAAAAGTGATAAATTGCCAATGATTAACTTTTGTGCTAAAAAAAGATGTTGGGGACCACTGGGCATTATTTGCACGCTATTGGCATGTTTGGTGCTACTTTTGGACAAAGAAATGGTGTGCTTGAATATGGTCCATGGGTATAGTATTTTAAAGATTTGAAGTGATTTGAAGATCTCTAGAAGATGGATAAATAGTAAACACCTTTTGTACTAAAATGATTACAAAAATGCTTCATCCATTGGATAAAGACCTCAACTTTTTATATATAAAAAGACATGGTGCAAGTATTAAAGGATCATCGTATCTTCAACAAAGATCTATCTTTTGAGTTCATTTACTCTCGAAGATTTAGTGTAGAGTTTAATTTTCAGCATTTAATTTATGTATTGTAATTTACTGTCCAGAACCTGCCCTCTGTGGCCAAGCTGTCAATATTATTTCAATGCAAACATTTTTCAAGTATTTATTCATCATGTTTTTCATTTTTAGTATGAGCTAATCACCTCATTGGGTGTGTGTGAGAGTCAACCATAAGGCTAGTAGTATACAACACATTGTCATCGTTGCTAATTCTTAAGTTTGGTCACTTAATTCGGGACTTAAAATCAACACAGATAAGTCGATCACTTTGAAGTGTTAATAGTAGACCTTAGACTCGGAGATGGACGTGTTCGAAATACGACTTAAGTGATGCACAAAGAATTGAGAAAGTCTTTGATAATCACGTAGAGATACGGGCTTTATATGATTTACTAAGGTTCAAACTTTAGTCGAGTTTTATATCACAAAGAGATTTGGGTATAAATCTTTATATTAATCGAACTTGATTTTTATATCACAAAGAGATTTGGATATAAATCTTTATATTAATCGAACTTGATTTTTATATAAAAAACTTAGTTAAATTGGCAATATTACGAATCAGCAAAGGTGGACACTTTGTGGGCACTTTGTAGGCACAGTCTATAAATGTTCACTTTCGAGAGATCGAGATTCTTATAGACGCAAACAGAAGGCCGGACCAAGAAAGGGTGCATGTTTTGCTTCAGGTACAACATACATCCCAAATTAATGGGTCTTTGACCGGGTCGTGTAGTAGCAATATTTGCATTTGGTGCTAGCTCTTACGTTAATCTTCGGGTCTGTATATTTTTTTTTCATTATGATGTCTAATTCTAATATTAAGTTTATTACTTACATTTACTTTATCATATATATATATATATATATATATATATATATATATAT